GTGATGATTACACACTTTTAAAAATAATTAATTAATTAATTTCTCATACAGTGTAGTTGATTTTCGTGACCCTTTCCCCACTCCTCTTCCCCTCTCCCTCTTTTCCCTACACAGCATTTTGAATATATCAATGCCCCTCAATTGTATACTTAAAACAGGTTAAAATGGTAAATTTTATGCTGTGTATATTTTATCACAGTGAAAAAAAAATGCTTAGGTTAAAATGGATTTTAGGTAAAGAAAGAGGACTCGAGGACCACAATTGGTGGCCATGCAGTCAGGAATTCCAACCCATATCATGTAGCAGAAGAATTAATACAGAATATCTGTCTCACCTCTGCCACCGCCACTCCACTGATATTGCTGATACCAAGTGTACTGGTCCCACTGCCATAACTTCCCAAGGGACTCAATCTTATTGCAAAGTCCTTCATCATCAAAAATAATCCCCATAACCCCTACTTCCTATTAGATACTCTTGATTCAAGGTTCTGGGAGGGTGCATCTGAAAGTCAGAGCCTGGGCCACAGCTATGTTGTAGCTGCAAGAGTGGATTAGAGAGAGCATATTGAATATTTTCAGTTGCTACAATGGCAAGGGAAATCTGTCTCTACCAAGACTTACAATATGGGAATCCTCCAAGTGTACAAGGGAGTTTAGAAAGACTGATATTAAGAATGAGGATATCTATGCAGGAACACTTTCATACATTACTAATGGGAATTTAAATTCATATAAACTTGCTAGGAAAATGTTTTGCATTGTGTAGCAAAAAGCTGGAAAACTTTTAAGGCAGCAGTACAACATATATAATACTACCCAAAGGAAATAGGTAGAAATAGTGGACCTCATATTGGGCAGCCCAGGTTTCCATTTGACATGGAGGGACTGACTTCTCTAGTTGTTGGCAGAGCTGCCTGTGGACAGCCTTGAGCCTTCCTTGGAAAATGTTTCACTGAATGAAGTCATCTTGCCTTAGGACATATCCTTTTTGAGAACAGACTGAACCTATGGCTGGTAGACATGAGGGAATAAAGGCATTTCCCCTTTGCCCCAGCTTGGTTCCATCCTGAAGGATCACCCCAGATTCAGAGCTGGGGTGTGGTCAGCTAAGGCCTCCATTGAGACAGCATCAAGCCCAGCTTCTCCTTCTGCCCAATCCTGCTTCCTCCCATCCCATTACACAGACAGAGGGCCTGAAAACACTCCCCACTAAACTTCCTACAAGCACAAATCCATCTCAGAACGTGCCTCCCCAAGAACCCAAACTGCAACACAGAGAACTGCCCAGAGGTGGTTTGTACATGATCACCCAGCACTGCATTATTTTAGCAGAAAACACTTTTGAACAAAGGCTTCATTGTCGAATAAAATATGAGGTACAGTAGGATACATTCATAAGATAGATGATTATGGAGCCATTAATATTATATTGTAGATTTGTGTTATATTTGTAAATCAAATTTAAAATAACAAAATAGTACAAACAATAGATTAATATTTAAATTATGTCCCAGCCAGAAGAGAGAGAAAAATTCATATTCCTAAGTGTTAATATTAATCATATTTCGTGAGTGAGATTAGAAAATATTTTTTTTATCTTTCTCTTGTTTTCCAATTTTCCTACATTATGTATGCATCATTTTTTACAGAAGAAAATTAAGCAAATATTGTGTAAGTCTACTTGCTTTTGTCCATATTTTAAATAGTATTTATTTTGTCAAACTATTTAAAGTAACAAATAGTTTTATCTTTGTGTGAGACAAAAGTAATATAAATGACTAAGCTTTTTAATAGTAAAATGTCAGATGTATTCCAAAGAGTGTGGATTTTAACACTAGGGGTGAGAGAGGAAGGGTTAATTGTTAGCAAGGAGACAGCATCACAATAAATTGCATACCATAATTTTTATGTGCTTAGTGATTTAGTTTTCATAACAATATTATTCGTTTAGCATAATAATAATATCAATAGTGGCATTGCATTAGTGTTAAGCCTGGTAGCAGATTGCCCAAGGCTGGTTGCTAAACAGTGTCTAAGGCTGTCATTGGCAAGAGGAAAAGCCTTTTTCCAGAAGCAGCAGAAGAGTGGAGGCAGATTAAAGAGCAGGCATGCCTACATGGTTGCAGTTTTTGTTAGAGTAGCCTGGTAGCAGATTGCCCAAGGCTGGTTGCTAAACAGTGTCTAAGGCTGTCATTGGCAAGGGGAAAAGCCTTTTTCCAGAAGCAGCAGAAGAGTGGAGGCAGATTAAAGAGCAGGCATGCCTACATGGTTGCAGTTTTTGTTAGAGCGGCTTTCCCCTAATGAGTCAGGATCTTTCCTGGCAAGGTAGATTTCATGGCACCAACACACTGTGTAACTCCTAGGCTGGCCCTGTAGACCACTTCAGTCAAAGGAAAAAAAAGAGTCTGGGCAGAGAATATGCAAGATTTGCTTGCTCATGTACCCAACTATTTCCATATTCCACTCAGAATGCTACTGTACCAAAATTCTTTAGGTTAAGCTCAAGAGATGGATTTTGTCTCCAAAGACATAAACTATGAGGCTATTCTGAGCAGAATTTTAACAACATGAGAGTGAGCCAACTAGAAAACAGTGATTAAATGCACGTGAAACATTGTATTTGTGAAAGACAGGGAACACGGTAGTCAAGTGCTGGGGAAGAGCGTACTTTTGAAAACTAGTTACTGTGAGAGGCAGTAATAAAGTTGAGACAGAATTTGCTTTGTTAATTTAATTTTAAAAATAAAGTCTGGAAACAAAAGGCAAAAACAGTTCATTGGCCCACCTTTATAAAGCTAACTGAGATAGGAAAGAAGAGAATGTTATTAAGCAAATGGGAGAAATGATTATAAAATACCTCAAAATTAGTAAAGAGGAAGATTGATGATATAGAGCATAAAATCAGAAATTTAAAAGATAAAAACAAAAAACCCCCCAAAACCCCACAAGGAAATAGACAAAAGTGAGAGAGAATATGATAAACGAGAAGACTGGCTATCAGAGATCTCAAACACATAACTGGTGTTCCTAAAGGAGACAGAACAAATGAAAAAGTATAGAAAGTGAGGGGGAAAAACAAAACAAGACAAAACAGGAAGAAAGTTTTGCAGTGATGAAAGCCCCTGCTACATGTACTGGTTCATTTTACCTAAACCCATCTGGAGCATTCGCATTTTCCCTTTTTCCTTCTATCCATCATCAATTGCTACATAACAAATTACTCAAATGATCACACACATACGAATTATCTCACAGTTTCTCTGGGTGTGGAAGCTGGGCAAAATTTAGCTGAGTCCTCTGCTTCAGGCTCTCTCACAAGACTGCAGTCAAGATCCACCTAGGAACAAATCTAGAATCTTCCGGGCTTGGGCAGTGGTTGTTGGTAGAATTCAATTCCTTGAGGCTTGTTGAACTGAGAGGCTCAGTTCCTCCTGCCTAGTTGTAAGCCGGAGGCCACCCTCAGTTCCTTACCACGTGAGGGTCATTATGACCAACTTGAATAATGACATATTAAAAAATAATAACAATAAAAATAACCATTTCCATATTCTCTGATTGCAACCCACGGAAACTTGCTTTCTTTTTCATGTTTACTCTATTATTTTGTACAAAGTTCAAAGCATTCCAGAAAGTCATAAAAAACAGTAATTTGTTGAATTTCTAAGAAGTACTCAGAGAAACCGTGTGGTATCTCAGTCATAGCATACCTAGACGAGAAAAGTTCAAAGCATTCCAGAAAGTCATAAAAAACAGTAATTTGTTGAATTTCTAAGAAGTACTTAGAGAAACCGTGTGGTATCTCAGTCATAGCATACCTAGACGAGAGCATAATGTAGTGTAACTGGTTTAAAAAAAAAAGTAGAAAAGGTAAAAGTAGTGGTAAAAACCGGCTTGGTGGCATACCTGAGGTGTCTGAGGAGGTTAAATGTCGAATAGGTGGAATTCACTTAAAGTTAGTAAGTTGCAGACCTAGGTCTGGAAACAACACTGTGAAATCAACATCTTTGTTCTAAACCATCTTTCTTTTTCTTAAAGGTTTTGTTAATCTTTATTTAAAAACATAACCAGATACACCTTGGTTGTTTACATTCTTTGGTTGGCATTCAGTCTCAAAATAAACATTGCAAGCATATAACAAGCAATAGTTTAATGAAGCCACAGCATTTACAGGGTTCTCGAAACCATCTAAACTGCTATGCAGCCTGCCTCAAAAGGAAGCTTGGCAGGGATTGGGTTCAAAGTCTTCTGATAAGAAGGTGGTTGTCCTGCCTTTGTCCTCTAGTTATCTATCTCCATAAGGGACCTATGATGCACCTGCAGCGGGAACCTAGTGATGTCATTTAGGCATCTACAGGAATGTTCAGATGCCACTCTTTGGGAGTATATGGTTTATTTCTAGCCCAGTTCATGGTAGGTGGCTAGGTGAGGATTCGCAGGTTCAAGATTTCCATTTCATCAATATTAAAAAGGATGAAGTGAAACTATGGCTAGTGTCTGGAATTAAAACAACCAACCAACAAGCAAGCTACAAAGCCACAGAGAGTCATAGGTTGGTCACAAGTAGATTATGGCCTTATAGGAAAAAAGGATTTGTTTCTGGTCAGGACAGGGTCATCTGAAACCTCACACTGCAGATAAAGCTATACTTTTTAAGATGTTCTCATGTAGACTCCCACATGGAAAGAAAGGTGGCAACAATGAGTGATCTGATAGGTGGGCTTTGGATTTGCCAGGGATTGAGATTCACTTTTGAGGTCAGAATGAGCTTATCTAGAACCTCATGCTGCAAGGGTACATGAATTTCCTGAGGGCAAAACTCCTCATGAAAAGAAAGGCCTGTAGGGCCAGGTAAGTGATGAAAACAGGTGAAGCCGGCCAAGTACAAGAAAAAAGGCAGCAGTGATGGTCAAGTGGGAAGCATGTGGCCTGATAATGGAAGCGGCCACTTTATTAGTTAGAATACCTTCTGTTTCAAGTAAGAAAAAACCCAACTCAAAATGGCTTAAACAATAAGAAAAATTTATTGATCATGTTACAAGAAGTTCCCAACAAAATGTGGGGAGACTCCAGGAGTTATTAATCTACCAATTAAATTATCTCATTAAAAGGCCAGGTTGTATGCACTTCATCTTCCTGTCTTATTCAGTATGTCATCCTCGCCTTTATAATCACAGAATAACCACACCAGCGCTACACGGGATATCAAGATGCCAATATCCAGAGGAATGGATGAGGACATACTTCCCTTTATTTCCCAACATACCTTCTCTTTCATCTCACTGGGAAAAAACAGGGGTTATACACTCACCTCCAAATCAACCACTGGCAAGAAGAATGAGATGATTGTGATTGACTTAGAGTAATAGGGATTTATTTATGAGATGAAGTTAGGATCATCTTTCCTAAAAAATAAATAACTGAACAAAATTGGAGTCAGACAGCAAGGAAAAAGGGAGATATTTTGTAGTCAACCAACACTATTTGCTTCACTGCCAAACAATTAAGCTGATGGTTGTTATGAGCAATGTGATTCCAGTGTTGACAAACCATCTGATTACTTTTAAAAAGCTGGGGATCTGGGTGTTTATGCAAGGTTTCCCAACTTTTAAATATTGGCAATAAATTCAAAACATTTAAAAATACTATGTGGCCAACATCATTCAGGCCGAATAAAATATATCTGCAGTCCAAACATGGCCCGCAGGTCACCATTTTGCAATCTCTTGTTTATGCTATTTATTTATTTAACTAAAACTTTCCTTATTTAGAAAGTGAAGTTCAGGTTAACCATACCAGTAATTGAATCATACAAATATCTATAATACTTTTTAAAATTAATAAGGTTTTTACTCAATTATAGAAAATCTCAAATAACACAGCTAATAAGAATTTCAGAAAATAATGTAGAAAAGAGATATATTACATAAAACAGGGAATGTTTATATGATTTTTGTCTTAACTGAGGGTCCTAATTCAACAAGAGTTAAAACAATCAAGATTTCCTACACATTTAATAATGAATGTACAATTTTTCTCTCACTTCTTTCAGTTTCTGTGAACTTTTTTGAAATTTTTTCTGTAGGGGTGAATTAATCCCTATCAAATGAGCAAATCCAGGTGTTCAAAATATTTGAAGAAATATTAGTCAATGTCATAGGAAAAAACAAAATGGAGGGTGTCTAAGAAAGTCACCTAGTTAGAGATTCAAGCTTCATAAATATTTCTTCATAGTCATCATCCTTCCCATGAGTATGGAGAATAGAAATTTTAAACTCATACAGAGATTCCCAAGAGTGAGTCTCTTGAAAAATCTAAATTTAACCAATTTCTTCAAAGTATAACATGAATCAGGAAATGTTAACCTCTTTCAGTGTCAAGAGCAAATAGTGATAAAGTAGGTATATTTCTCTTCCATCCAGACTGTCCAGCCTTCCAGGTTGGTCATTTACCCACCAATTCTTACTTAGCTGTTGCTTCAGACTTTTGGATTTGAGCCCTAAAAAAGACAAAACTCTTAAAAGATCAATTTTTCCTAAACATGTAGATATTATATAACTTTGAAATATTAAGAAACTAAAATTAATTCTCTGTAGTGACTCTTCCCATTTCATAGCTCATTTGATTCATCAACAGTGGAGATGAGATTACACAGTGGGAAGATATTATATAACTTTGAAATATTAAGAAACTAAAATTAATTCTCTGTAGTGACTCTTCCCGTTTCATAGCTCATTTGATTCATCAACAGTGGAGATGAGATTACACAGTGGGATATGGACAGGACTTAAGAAAAATACCACACTGGGATCCAAATGTCCCTCTGGGTAATTAGCATATTACAGAGAGAGTAGGGGACCAGAGTTATGGGATATTGGGTGACTGTTCTGTAGGAGAGTTCCCCCATTCCCACCATCCCTAGAGAATATTTCTGAGAAAATGAAGAACATTGGGATCATCGTAGATTTCTAGCTGAGACACTTCCATCTCCATCTTCTTGGTTAACAGCCAAACTCAGAAGCAAGATACTCATGTGTTCACCATCCCTCAATCATACCGATACTATTCTTAATGAACTTCTTGTGAGAAGACATGGTTGGAACTTCTCTCCTTAATACTAGGAGATTATTAAAAAAATTAAATAAAATTATAAAAATTTATAATTATAAATTATAAAAATTACAATAATTTGGCTATGTCTCTCTTACCTTAGGTGTAGACATTGGCTTATCTTTGAAAACATCAGAGGGAAGTGATTTTGTGTCTTTATGCTGCATTAGACACAGAAATAATGTAGGTCATTAAAATTTGTTATGCTTTTCCCATCTTAGCTATATTTACTTCCTTAATGAAATTATTCCTTGCCTCCTTTCGCACATTTAAATTCTCCCCAACTTTTAGTTTCCAGTTCAAATTCCAACTACCCAGCCAATAGATTTCCTACTTTAATCACTTTAAACCCGTTCATTTTCTCCTCTCCATATTTTTCCTGTATCATTCACTTTGGCATAAACAATATTTGAGGAATTAAGTGCTCCGAATATATATGACTTGTTTTCCCACTAACAATGTGAAATTTCTTAAAAAAACAAACATTAATTTTAGTTTTTTTTCTCATTTATGCACAACAGAGTACCAAGCATGCAAAAACATGCTCAGAAACTAATTGATGAGTGAATGAATTCTACTTTTTACTTCCAAAGCACCTGACTTTTATTTTAGGTTTCCCTATACGTGGCCTGTTTTTCATACTCTACCTTTTACAGAAAACTGTGGCTAATAATAGGCCCTATTCTATCTACAGTAAATAAGAAAGTAAAGTGTCACTGGTAGTAAATTTTATATCCTCTAAAATAAGGATCTAGAAATGATCCTTTGAAGGAGACATTTACTTCATACAGCATTGATCACTTCTCAACAATTATATAATAGTAGAACTATTTTTAATAATAAAGAAGCAATACCCATACTAATTTATAGATAGTAAGTAAGCCTTGCTTTTTCAGATCTCTTTAGGACAAATATGCATATATTAGGTTAGCCACAGGAGCACATGTTCTGATAAAGAACTCATGAATTTAGAGACAATATTCTCATTGGGCACAAAAGACATTCGAAAAATCACCAGCAACCATCCGATACTTACAAGGAAAGAGGAAGATGGTACGAATGTAGGAATTGGTGGTGGAGGAAAATCTGGCTTTGTAATTAGCTAGTAAGAAGATAAAAAATTTAATTCAAAGATTGGGCCCTGAGAACAGACATACTTCATGAAAAGGCTTAAATCATTTTCAGTTATGGCCCTACCCGTGAGAATTTTCTAAACCTGTGAGTTTGCTTTCATTTAGGAGCACACATGCAATTCAGACAGAAGTCTAATGTCAATAGATATGTGATGGAGATGATTACTATGGACTGAATGTGTCATCCAATGAATTTATATATTGAAGCCCTAATCTCCAACATGATGGTTCTTGGAGATAGGGCCTTTTTGAGGTAATTAGATTGTGAGAGTAGTGCTCTAATGATAGGATTAATGTCCTTGTAAGAAGAGATTCAATAGAGAAGATCTCTCTCCCTCTGCCATGTGAGAATACAGCAAAAAGGCAGCTGTTTAGAAGGCAAGAAACAGGCTCTCAACAGACACCAGATCTGCCAGCACCTTGACTTCCTAGCCTCCAGAATGGTGAGAAATAAATGTTTGTTGTTTAAGCCACCTGATCTATGCTATTTTTGTTACAGCAGCCTCAACTAACTAAGACAATGGAACTCTATGGAGCAGAGTGGTACTCTTCTTGCAATGAGTTATCAGCTTTCCAGCCCTGGTGCTCAGGATTAGGGACCAAATTTAGGAATATAATGGGGGGGGGGAGGGATGTATATTCTCACAGCTTTCCAGCCCTGGTGCTCAGGATTAGGGACCAAATTTAGGAATATAATGGGGGGGGGGATGTATATTCTCATGTTTCATATTTACAAAAAGTTTTGCATAAAATTTATATTTTATATTAATAGTCACACAGATTTTGACATTCTTCTAAATAAATAATTGGACATTGCTGGCTATGTTTTTCACTAACATTTCCTTGAGGTTGGATGCGGGTGATATTTTAAGAGAAATTGCTAACTCACAAAAGAAGCTGGAGGCTCAGTGCCTTCTACTGGCAGATCAGACACATGGAGCTTCATCTGACTCATCTAAAAAGAAAAAAATTATATTTTAGAATGAAATCATCAGTTTCCTATATACAGCTTCCAAATAAGCAGTCCTTTCAAGGCATGGGAGCTTAGAATTAAGATGACACCAGGAGAGCAGAAAGGAAATCACAGAAGTGCAGCAGGTGTATTTTACAGGAAAATTTCCCCAGAGCTACAAGGGAAAGTTTCCATCAAAAACATTAGTACCAATGTTTTTTATCATTAACCAAGTTTAGTTAAACTCTGTAAACTTGCAGGACATGACCCAGTCATTAAGGATTATACACGTTACATATGTTATCATGAAAATATACATATTATTTTGTCTATTGGGAAATTTGCCAAATGAAGAAGGAGTCAACATGGAGTCAGAGAAAGAAATAGAGTGAGCAAGAGAGAAACAGAGAGAGACACACATCCAGCATCCCCCTATTTGTTCTACTGATTGTCTTTGTACTTCATGAACCTCAGCAAAGTAACCTCTGTATTTTAGGGATGCTCTTTTGCATTTAACAAAAGGCAAAGGAGAACTTTCTGAATCTGTAGTTAAAGAGTCCAAACACTTGCCTTAAACTAACCAGTGGAGTGGATTTATAAACCTGCTGGGTAGAAATAATAGATAGGTGGTTGCGATACGAGAGAGAGAATTGCAAACTGAGGCCATGGTAAACATATTCTGCTTTGGATGGAAAGTGTGAGTTATTATGAGTGTGGATTGGTGGCTTTGTAAAAAGAGCACAAGAGAGAGCTCTTGTCTTTCTTGCCATGTGATTGCCAGTGTCATCACGGGACTCTGTACAGACTCCCCACCAAGAAGTAGACCCTCACCAGATGCACCCATGGACCATGAACTGCCCAGCCTCTGAAACTGTAAGAAATAAATTTCACTTCTTTATAAATCACCCAGTTTCAGGTATTCTGCTTTAAGTAACAGAAAATGGACTAATACACATTGCAAACCATAGTTCACCTCTTGGGGTTGAATAGCCTTCATCATCTGGGGTCTTCTCTTCTGTTTGAGTGGCCTGGGGCCATTGGCAGGTAGTGTCCTGTAAGTGAAAATACGTCATAAAAATTGGCTTAGTAGTTCCTCCAGCAGTTCTTTCAATATAAGATGACCACTACCTTTGCCGATTGCGTCATCCTTGGTTATTGACTGGGTGGGTTTTTATATGCTCCTAGGACATTCTTCAGCTTTTCTTTTTGATTCTCTACAGAACCCTGATTCCTAATAATGATGGTATAGAATCCAATTTTTATCTAAATTATATCAGTTTATTAATAGTTTCTTTTATTCATTCAAGATTATTAAAAACCATTATAGGTGAATAAGTCAGTCTTAAAAAATGCTAAAAAGGTACCATTGTGTCAAGACTGTGTTTGTAAGACAATCAGATGTAGGTGCAAATCAAGGCTCCATCACTTACTCTGCGAGACCTTAAACATGTCTACTAAACTCTCTGATCTTGTTTCTGCCTCAGTCAAAATGTGAAGTCCCTAACCTTGCAGGACTGTTGCAAGGATTAATAGAAAACACCTTTTCATCTATGAAATGGAAATAATAGTAATTACCTCATGAAGTTCTTGTGCAGATTAAACGAGATAATGAATATAAAAAAGTTTAGCACAGTGCTTTCACATATAGATAATGATCAATAAATGCTAGATATTGTATTCTTACAATAAATTCAAAAGTCTTTAATAATGAGCATTAATGTCACTTTTATTGTTAATTATAAATACAGTGTCTAACGGAAGAAAAAGATGCGTTTCTTGCTGTGAAGAATTTCCCAGTAAAAGGGATACCCAGACTCTAATCTAAGAAGAATGTGTGTGTGTGTACTTCTCAATATTTAAAGTAAACCAAAATTAAACTGAAAAGGTTAGGTCATACCCTTGAATTTAAAGGAAAATAGGGGTCACAGAGTCCCCCAAACAACATAAAGGTTCACCTCTTGACTTTCCTCTGCTTTCCTCTGGTGTTTTGTTGTCGGATTACTATAGCAACCACCACAAATATGACTGCCACTGGGAACAGCACCCCAACCACAATGGAGAAGTCTGCAACAAGGAGAACAGAGGCCTGCTGAGGATCTCAGAAATTCACACCTACAAATCACACTAGTCCATATTTATTTAGCGCAAATTCCATCTGCCCTTTTCCTAAGGAACATGCATTCCTTGGAAAACCTCTCATAGCAGATGAACAAGTATTTCGATCATGATTATTGTGTTAATATTTAGGTAGAGAAAACAAAGATTTTAATTTAAAACATTAAACATTTAATATGAGACAGGTAAAGCATCCTACTACTGAGGAATGTTCAAAGGGATGATGTTTGTAATAATTGGAAGATAAAGTGCTGGGAGATTAGAAGAGAATATGGAGTAGGGAGGATGGCAGAGCAGGAATGAAACATTTTTTTTTTTTCCTTTTTGTGTTTTTTCCTGACCGGCAATGGGATCGCAACCCTAGGTATCGCGCCCGCACCGCGCTCAGCCAGTGAGCGGACCGGTCTCTATATGGGATCCGAACCCTTGGCGAGAGCGCCGCCACACTCCCAAGCGCCGCACTCAACCGAGTGCACCACCGGGCCGGCCCAGGAATGAAACATTTTTGAAATGCAGCCTTGGAATAAGATAGTGAAAAAGAAAATAAAGCCTTTAAATTAATTCCTGTCAGTAGCAAATAAAGAGCTGAGGCATGCATCAGAGAATTGAGACATAACTGAGTGTTCTGCTGATATTTGCTCTATGTTGGAGTTATTATAGACAGTAAAAAATTATGTGATCCTGTGAATGGGGGATTGGTTGGAACAAATATTCAAGGGTCTATATGGCATTTTATTTTTTACCTACTAATCTAAGTAATACATACAACTTCAATCTTTTGCTATCTCAAGTATTCATTTATATTATAATAATTTGAAACCATGAGAAACCAAGAGGTGCAAGTTTGGAGAGCAATGCAGGCAATTACTCCTCTTTTATCACAGAGAACAGCAAACCAGTAACAAGATCCATTTTTGTATAAATGCAAGAAATGATGGGCCGGCCCGGTGGCGCACTGGATAGTGCGCCGCTTGGGAAGCGCGGCGGCGCTCCCGTCCGAGGGTTCGGATCCCACATATAGACCGGCTCCCGCTCACTGGTTGAGCGAGGCGCGGGAGCAACACCGAGGCTTGCGATCCCGTTGCCGGTCCCCGGTCCGGTACGGGGGCAACACTGAGGGTTGCGATCCGTTGCCGGACATGGAAAAAAGACAAAAAAAAAAAAAAAAAAAGAAATGATCACAAGTGTATGTACACACACATGCAAACAGACAGATACATAGACAGCAGAATTCTAGGTAAGACTGACTTTAGCTCAAATATTGAATACGTGCCACCCTCCATAAAAATTCCTTTTCAAAAAGTGAAAGGAAAACGAAACTCTGAG